AGGTAGCTGGTTCATTTGAGGGACTGGTGGGTGTGTTGGCCAAGTACCTAAGGCTGCAAGTGCATTTCTTGAAACTGCCAGTGTTATCTTTGGCACTTTGGCAAATACTACCCATTGTTCTCATGGTGCATGTGAGTGTCTCAGGCAGTAATTTGGCATGTCGTAAATGTTTCGTGCCACACCTGGTTTCTCATCAGACACTTCAGACCCCTGTAAATGCTGGCTTGTGAAATGTAGGCTGTGAGGTAGTTGGCTTGTGAAATCTAGGCTGTGAGGTAGCAGGCTTTCTTGCTTATTTATAAAATGTTTGGCTCATTTAGCAGCAAATGAGACAAAAAACTTTGCTAGGTGTACAAACCCACCCCCCATCAGGATTACTTTTCAGTACTTGGGTAATTATTACCCAATAACAGCTTTCAAAGCTTCTTTCTCCTTGAAACATGGGAAGACTGAGCCACAGAACCTAGATATTTTATCCTAGAGCTCAGTGTGTCTGTTCACAGTTTATATCTCAAAAAGAGAAGGAACAAAAAAGAAAGTTTGAAATGAGATATGTAATACAGGGATCACTTTGTATTTAATTTTTTGTGCATATGAGCACAAAATGCAAAAACTGTATTTGAGTTTTTTAAAATATTAAAGTCCTTAATACTTGTTAGTTTCATTATGACTTTATACAATTTGGATAGGTAATGGAGTTTTTTGTTGTTTGCTTTTAGAAATTTCTAAAAGTATAAAAGTAGAGACATCTAACCTGGGTTACAATGTTTACAGACTGTTCCATGGTTCAAACAAGTAGGACACCAATGCTTTCCAGGTGGAAATTCAAGTTCATTCAGGAACATTATCTTCCCAGTTTAAGGAAGCAATAATGTTGTCAACTCAATGCTGAGCAACCTTCGTGTTCTATGAAACGTCTTCAAAATTTCTTTGGCTTTAATTGCTCCTCTTGGTCAGTTGTTCAGATGAAACATTGTCATTGTATGTTAAAGATTGAATCTCATTAAGATGCTTAAGAAACTGAGAAGACAATGGCTTTTTCATACATCTCCATCGCCCTCTGCAGTGATACTCTTTAGAGTTGAATGCTGCTTTGGAATTTGGGGTCTGTGTGATGCTGAATTTTTTTACCTGTTTGAAAATATTATGGTCCCTTCTTCATATCTGTAGTACTTGATTCCAGGTCCCCCCGAAGTTACAAAAATCTGAGATGTTCAAGTTCTTTATGTAAAAAAGGTATAGTAAGATTTGCCAGAACCTATACAACCCTC